CGATACACTTTGTCAGTAAGTGTGCACTGCCCAATATGGTAGTATCTGGATAATAAAGCAACTAAGCAAACTAACCTGGTTGCTGGAAGAATCAAATCCTTTTCAGGCTATAATGATACTCCACCCCAGCTGCTCAGCATTACTTCTCAATGCTGGATGAGAATGAGCTTCTCTTGTTCTGAGAATAAAGCAGGTCACCCAGTCCATTCTGCTACTCTAAGCTCTAAAGCATGATTAAAAAATACTTCAACCATACCTGACAGTTGTTTGTCTAGTTTGTTCTTAAAAAACACACACACACACAAGTTCAGCACTGGCACAGCCTAAGAAGCCTGACAAATATACTTCATTGAAAGTATATCTATCTATCGATAGATATATCAGTCCATATAGATCTCTCTATAGATAGATATACATATAGATATCTATAGATATAGATATAGATATCCAATTTTTCCAGAATGGCTCCTGGCACCAGTGAACATGCATCTAAGCAAGGATCTCATCAACAATTGTGCATCTTAAAGTAAGCCGTGGCATTGTAGATCAGGTCCTGCAAATGTATGCATGTGCCCTAAGTGCATGCTTACATTTAGGTTACGTATTCAGATGAGGTCAGAATGGGTGCTTTTTATAACAAGATGCAGTTTACCAAAATCTTTTTTTTATACTACCAATTGCATCATATTCAGGTGTGATGCATTAAAAATAATGGCTCAAAAATAATGGAATTAAAGGTGCCAATTAATTTTTTTCTGAAAGAATGCTTTGCGTGTAAACTGCATAAAAAGTCGTGCAATATAAGATCCAAAGGAGTTTGCTTGAACTATCATTTTTTAACATTTCAGAACTTCATCATATTTCAAAAAGAGTGCACATGACAAGTTTTGGTGGTGGTGGTGATAGTGGTTATAATAGCATAAATGTTAATCATGTTATTAAATCATACATAATAAGCATAAGAACCTTGCTGAAAGGGTGTGATACAAAGCCAGTTAAAGTAAAATAAAAATCTTTGTACAAATTTTAGTAGCATTTGGATTAAATTGCCCCATAAATCCATAAACAATGTCTTGAGAATGTCTTCTTTCCTCTGACTTATTTCAAAAGTTTTCACTTTCAAATGAAGATGATATTTTCTTCTATCTGTTGATTAGATTAGATTTAATTTAAAACAACTCACTTTCTGAATAAAATCAGGGTGCGTTTTGGTGGGGGGGAATGAAAAATGAAAAAAAACCACTTTTAATCAGATGTTTTATTTTTTTGCACAGACATTAAATTGAAAGAAAGTAATTTGCTCCTAGTTTAATTAAAATAATAAAATAGTATATTTTGGTTTATATTTTAAAGAAAAAATAATATTATCAACTTACAAAACCACTGGGGACATTAATATGAAAACTTAAAATTAAAGCATATAATTTTTTTTTAAATATCAAGTTCAGTCTCAACAAATACAATTTTTTTTTAAAGGCTAAATTTTAGCTCTGTTTATCAAAAAACTATTCTCGAATTCAAGAAAAGCCAGACGATGTAAACTTAGATGGCTGAATATGCATCTGTAGAGCATGATGTAAGACAAAATTGTATTTTGAAAAAAAGGATCTATTTTGGATGACGTCAGATTAACAGGGCTATCAAGTGGGGTAATAAAAGAGGACATCAGAGACCTTTTGATTAATTTGAATTAATGTAACTTGGCAAGATTTATTAAAATTCATCTCAGGGTCCTGAATTCATCCTAGGGCCAATGGCAATATTTACAAAGTTGTGAGAAATGGGTGTGGACTGAAAAAGGCCTAACATACTTTCCATTTTTAAAAAGCAGTACCCAGGAATTATAAACCTGTCAGTCTGACTTCAATACCCAGGAAGTTGCTGGAGAAAATTATATTTAAAAAAAGATATTGAAAAACATCTGGAGGAGGAAAG